GCTCTTAAGCTTGATTTTTTCATTCTTTCATATGTAGGTAAATAATGGGTAACTGAACCTGTTGCTCAGATGATGACTCAGGGAGACTCGAGCTCCACGCAGGCCCAGCAGAGGGCACTCTGGGCCGCGAGGAGGAGCGGGAGGAGTGGCCTGTTGGACATTCAGTGTCAAAACCAGGCCCCAGGCCAAACACAGACAGGCCAGCAGCTCCCTTTTCCTGGGTCAGCCCCCTGCGGCTTCCCCCGCGGTGGACAGAGCCGGGCAGTGGGCTTCACTTCGGGCTGCCCCCCACCTGTCACCAAAGCCACGCCCTTCCCTCCAGTGAGACTGCTGGGACTTTCGAATCCTTTTCGATTTTCGCCTTCTCTTCACTCTCAAGCTGTCACTCCCTGTTTGTGTCACCAACTGAAAAATCAGATAATCCCGTTTCTTAGAACTTTGTCAACAAGGGCTCCCATGTGAGGCCTCGCAGGCCCAGGCGCTGTTCTGGGAACCTGGGAGTTTGGGGCTCTCCCCTGGTTTTATGCCAACAGAAGGTGCACTTCGCAAAAGTGAATTGTATGTAGTTCTCAATCCTTGAAAGTCTATCCCAAGATGTTTCAGATGCAGAACAAACGGGAACAAACCCCCTATGCCACCAGCAAACCTGCCGTGGCCCTTGAGGAAGGCGCGGAAGGACGCGTGGACGCAGCAGACAAAGGGGACCGCTTTCAGGAAGAGAAAGGACGGACTACGGGCTGCACACTCGCTCGGTGTTTATTCACAGAGGAGAAGCCTGGAGTCAGAGAGGACGAGCAGTTAGAGAAATTCACAGGCCTCATTAACTGTGTCTCTGCAGGAAGTGATAGGATTCTTACAGAGAAAGAACAAAGTTTACATGACTCATTTCCAGATTTCTGTGGCTTATTATCCTTATTTCTAAATTCTAATTTGTTGGAAGACTATCTTTAGATAGATAACAAGTTTTCCAGGATTCTGACATTTAACACCCACATAGCAACAAGAATAAACTTTGATGTGAAATCCAAAACCTATGGCTTCTGGATTTAATAAAGGCACGGCCATTACCAGTCAGCTCCCCTTCTCAGTGGTGTTAGGGGAGGCTGGTGAGCTCTCTACTGCCCCAGGTGAAACGTCGCTCGTTCCTATTGGGCCTGCACCACAGCCACCACTTTAAGACACTCCCGTCAACAGAGAAAGTGAAGAAAACGACACAGCTGCACCATGTCAGAGCACAGTCCGATTTTAAATTTCATAAATGCTGATTGGTTAGAGTTAGGTAAAAACCATTGGGCTTCAAGGACAAACTTTCTAGAAAAAGACACATGGAGATCAAAGAAGAGTGAAATGTCCTGGTTTTACACAAACCAGCGGGTTCCAACCATTGTGCTATGGCCATGCCAGACCGTGGGGCCGACTGCGGGATGTCACCCGTGCACGCTGCAAGGTGCCATAGAGCAGTCGGCCCGAGGCTCTGGGTGTTGGGCTTAAACCCTTGCATTTTACGGAAGTAAAACAGGGCCACAGAGATCACCCAGCTGATGGAAGGCCTGGGGCCTCCGGGGCGGCAACTGGCCCACGGCACCCGCTCCATTCTGATTGGAAACGCCTGACGGGATCGAGACACCAGTGCCCTCTCAGCAGGCCCCCTGCTGACTGACCTGCAGTGTGGCCTCAGCCCTCAACCTCAGGGCCAGGACGTCGCAGAGACCTTCCAGGGCCAGCCGGGGGCCCCTGGCTCCCATCATCACCGCTGCTGACCCCACAAGGTAAGCTGACCTCTCGCCTCCACCCTGCTGGCACCGTGCCCACTCAAGAGCATCCTCTCAAACTCTCCTCTCCTGGGTCCTCCTCGGCAGCTGGTCACCATGGCCAGCACATCGTCAGGCAGTCTGGGACCAGGTGACCGGTACTGATGAGGTGAAACACCGTGCCCAGAGCCCTAGGAGAGCCCCAGGCGGAGCCTGAGCCCAGCCTGGTCCACGTGGGCTGGGAGCTTTCATGGCGGAGCTGCCCTGCCATCTACAAGGACGAGCCGCCAGGTCGAGGAGCACGAGGAGGGTGTCCGTGCTGTGGCCTGGAGCCCACGTGACAGCCTAACCACCAAGGGGACTATACGTAGGAGGTGACTGTAAGGTAGGCCCTAACCCAAGGTGTTCTCACGAGAAGAGGAAAGATGCTGGGAGTGGGCACAGAGGGGATGGTGTAGACCAGTGATGGCAAACTCATTTTTTTGGTTGATTTTTCTTTGTTAAATGGCATTTAAATATATAAAATAAATATCAAAAATACAAACCTTTGTTTTACTATGGTTGCAAATATCAAAAAATTTCTATATGTGACACGGCATCAGAGTTAAGTTAGGGTTTTTCAAAATGCTGACACGCCGAGCTCCAAAGGTTCGCCATCACTGGTGTAGACTATGAACACGGAAGGACCCACCTGGTGGCGTTCGCCTGATTAAATCGTGGTTTTCTGTAACTAATGGTTGAGAAATGACTTCGTTAAGAAATACTGTCTTCAATTTATCTCGAGAAACTTCAGACGTTAAGCTCCCTGACCTGCTAAAGAAAACACCGTGACGAGCATGATACGTAACTGCTTCTGTGATGCAGGATGGGGAGGCTTCCTGTACGCCCTCAGCCCAGACCTTGTATTTCTGGCTGAGACGGTGCCTGCTGCGTTTAAATTACACCCTCTGTGCGTAGTTACAGTTTTTGCCTGAGTCTCATTCTACCAGAAAATCAAACAGGTCACAAGTCCAACTCAGCAGCTCCATCCCTGGGGGACCTGCCAGCCCGCCCGCCCGGCAGCACCGAGTGCCCGGGGACCACTGGCCTGGCAGCTCTTGCCAGGTCTCCTGTGCTCCCTTGTTCAGAAAAACAGAAAAAGAACCCATGAGTCATGTCCTGAGGGTGCGTGCACGATGGGCCCGTCCTGGAGTCGTGAGCCCCACAGCCCCTCCTGGCAGAGAAAGGGCCAGGGTGCTGGCGCTGTCACCAGGGCACGCTCTGCATCACGGTGACTCGGGGACGGGACGCCAGAGCCAGAATCACCAGCAACTCTAACCTCAGGAGAAAATGATCATACACATCGTCCCTTACACCGAGTTCCAAAATTCAGTTTAGTAAAAAGCATTTTTTACACGCCAGGGCCACGGGAATCGCTGTGTGAGCTACATGCCAGGGCCACGGGAATCGCTGTGTGAGCTACATGTCAGCATCGGCCCCCACCACACGGGCAGGGGTACCTTTCCAGGCTTCTGGAGCCACGTCCTGGGAGTGGGGTGGCTGCCCCCCTCCCCCGCCAGCCGTCCCCAGCAGTCCCACACCCCTCACAGGTGGTTTCCAGTTTGCTTTCAACCCAGGCCTCTTTGCAGCTCAGAACCAGACCTGACCCCCTTCAGAGCAGCCCCACCCAGATGCTGCACCTCAGCTTCCAGCCCCAGCCCCGGCAGTGTGTCCATCTGACACCACCCTCCACCTGCCCAAAGCTTGGCCCTGCCCAGTCACACCCCTGTGCTCCACCCAGTCCCCCTCTGGGCTGCTCTGCCCCACTCCCAGGCTCCTGCCCTCTGGCTCCTCTGAAATGCTCCCCCTTCCCCAGTGAGCGTTGGCACACCCTGGGCGTGGGCAAACAGGTGCTAAAGGATGAACCAAGCCCCGGCTGCCAGCATAAGCGGCGTCTCTCCAGGGAGTGTGGCCAGCTCCCAGGCTGGGCAACAAGTACCTGAGTGAGCAGCTGCTCAGGCGCCAGCTGGTTGATCCAGCGCGTGTACCGCTCCGTGGAGTTGGGGGGCTCTCTCCTCACTTGGCAGCCTATGATCTGTGAAGTGGAAGAGAGTCTCTGTGAGTTCCTGGGTGCACACACCTGTGTGTCTACCTCTCACCTGGCACCAGTGGGCACCTCTGGGCCGGGTTAGGGAGAGCTTCTGGGAACAAGGGAGGAGGAGGGACCCTGCTGCTCTGCCCACAGCCCTGTACACGCAAGGTGGCCTGTGTCCTCTCGAGTGACAGGTGACGGGTGATGGCACACAGGGGCCGCACACCAAGAATTTCACCCTCCAGAGACTCTGATGCTCCAGGGCAGAGGCCGTGTGCTCGCTACAGGGCATGCGCTGGCTCATCTGTAGCCCGTGGTGGTGCTGTCCTTGCTTCTGCTCCACATGGTGCTGCAAAGACAGAGGTGCCCAGCATCCCCTCGACGCGGGGCCCCTGGCAGGATGTTCACGAGCTTATTGCTCGTACTGAGCTCCCTGGGAACTCGCTGACCTCGGAGACATCCTACCAAGGGTCCATCTGTCCCAAAAGCCGTCAACATGGGCTGGGAGTGCTCCAGGATGCTGCCCTCCTTGGCAAGGTGCCCCTGCACCCCAGCTCCGGCCCCATAGCTGATCTCTGCTCGGAAAGGTTCAGTACGTGCTGGACAAATGCCACAGTGGGGCTGCCTAGTGACGCCCAGACATTCTGCAGAGACTATGCAGCTGCACCATTTGTGGAAGCCACCACAGGGCCTTGCCTTCACAATGAAGTGGCTTTCTTGTAACCTGCTTTCAGAAAACAGTGGCCAAGGGCAAGCATATACTTAGCATTCACTTCATTCTTTCCGAACTAAATATATGATACACTCGACAAAACCACCAATCAGCAACCGCAAATTAAGGTTTTGTAGGTCATGATTAAAAAAAAAATCCAACCCCACAGTAACGAGCTCTCTAAAGCTGCTTTGTTCTGATGCAGCCAGACCGTGAGGACATCGGTCTCCACTGAAAACCTGCAAGGCAGGAGCTGGCCCCACAGAGCAGCACCAGCCGCCAGCCAGGAGCACTGGCAGGAGGAGGCAGAGTTCCTCCTGAGCATGAACTCGAGTAGATGGCGAGCAAGAAAAGCTCAGCCTTGAACTTTGTAAAATGCAGACCAAGGTAGTTTAAGTTACAGCATGAGGAACAGACGCAGGCTGCCTTTTTCCAAACTCCTTGCGTCCCCAGGCATCGTGGTCCATCTGAGTCTTGCCTGCAGGACTAATTACTTGCCCGAAGTAATTTCATTAAGGAGCTGATCGTGTTTGTTTTCAGTATGAAAATGAAGAAGGTGGACAGCAACGTCTCTGAAAGCAGCTCGCTCTCGATAGCGCCCACACGGGTGCCAGGGGCCGTAGCAGCTTCCACGTGGGCCACATTTCAATGCTAGGAACCGCGGTGTGGCAGTCACTCGGAAGGAAGACACGGCGTCCCCATGAGGACGGCTCACCCAACTGCTCAAACACAGCGTCGTCCTCGCGGGGCGGGGCCGTGCCTGTGACTGTTGCAGGGTCACACGATTAGCATGGACAGGCAGAAGCAGTTAGCTTGGCCGTCAGTGCAGTTTAAACTCGGAAAAGCTGGGCTGCTCCTCCGGAGTCGTGCCACCTGTAATTCCGTCACACCTGTCAGACCAGAGAGAACCTTCTGCAAACCTGCACCTGCACTGCCCTGTGGACGACCTGTGAGCAGAAGTCCATCCAGGGCTTCTTCCCACTCCTCTTCCTCTTCCCAGCAAACGAGCGAGACCACAAGGCGTGTGCATCTAATATCTCCTTTCACGTCACTGGGGCTGGAGGCCAGTCTACTGACCCCACAGAGGAATCCAATGATGCCCGATGACCAGGGCCTGAAGGTTGCAGGTCCAGCCCACTGTCCAGAGCTGGACGATGTACCCACGTGGCTCCTAGGAGCAGTAACTGTCCCAACGCTGTGTCCAAACATGTTTTCCGACTTCTTTCCCAACCAGGAAGTGGTGAGACATGACATCTTCAGTGACTGTGGACGTCCACAAGCCTCCGTGGAGGCGGAGCCCACCTCTGCACCGTGCACGCACCCCTGCCCTGCGCTCAGACTCCTTGCCATGTGACCTTCTCAGGATCTGGTGGGAGCCACAGAGCCCCACCGGGCGCCTGCAGCTCCTGCGAAGGGTCCCCCTGCCCCCTCGGCTTCCACACCCTGGAGATGTCCTCCCAGCTCGGTCTCCCACCCTTGCGCTCTGGCTCCACGTGCAGCCTCTGCTGTCCCAGTCGGGCTTGCGTGCACTCAGGAGGCTGCTGCCGACAGTTCTTCACACCCTGTCTGGGTGCTGCTGGGAAGGGTTTGGCAGACGTGACTGGAGTCCATGGCGGCGGACTCTAGGTGAGGAAGGTTGTCGCAGGTGGCATGTCGGCCGACTCCATCAGGTGGATGTCCCACGCACGAGGAAGCTGTGGCCGCATGAGATTCCAGGGGCCGACCCCTGCAGCAACGACACCACGCCGGGCACTGGATGGGCTGGACGCTGCCGTGGGGACGCCTGACCCCCAAGCTGGGGCACACGACTACCATCCAAGCATTGACTAGATACAAGTGTTTTATCTGAGACACAAAACAAATGGAGACAGGATCCCTGCGCCCTGTAAAGCCCTGTCCAACAGGTGGGCCCGGGCAGTGTAGGTGCACACGGGCGGGCACAGCGCGGGGCAGGGGCACCACAGGGGATACGGAGTGACTGCATCCTGCAGGCGGAGTCCAGGACTCCAGGCAGAGGGGCTGGCAGGGCCACGCAGGGGGGAGCACGGCAGCGGTGACCCCAAGCTGTGAAAACATGCACGTGACCCACAGAGCCCGAGGGCAGAGCAGCACGTGAGGCCAGGGCAGTGGGCACCGCCATCACTGACGGCTTCGGTGACCTGCCACACTGGAGCTTCGGGACCTGTTCCTTCCAGGCCGGGGGGGCGGGGGGAGAGGGGGCGTGTCAGCGCCGGGGTCGGATGCCCTCCACAGTGGGAGGACCAGCACACTCAGAGAGGAGCACAAGAGGGAGTGTCTGAGGACGGGACAGGGCCTCGGCCGCCTCCCTGCGCACGGCTCCTACAGGGAGAGGAGCCACACGCCGCCGAGGAGGGGCCCCCGCGTGCCAGGAAGATGGTCCTAGAGAGCCTGGCTCTGGAGCCGACAGGGAAGCTGCTCTAGAGAGAACACGACTGAGCTACCGGTGGGAGAGGGACTGTTAGGCCCCGTGGTGACAGGAAGCTCTCAGCCTCTGCGTTCATGTCCAAGGGCACAGCTTCAAAGATGCTGATCAAACAAAACAGAACAAAAATCCAGAGACCCTCTGTACCCACCAGAAGGCAGCAAGCGCCACCCCGACGAGGAGGCATGTCCTCCTTCACAGGAGAACACCTGCAGGCCTCACAGTGCCCTGGGAGGGCAGTCCCACCGTGACCCGGCCTTCCACCCAGGAGGACTCCGAGCTGAAAGGCTGTGCTGCTCAGTGAGCACAGCTGACCCGACTCTGGGAGTTGTGCTCAGGGCCGTGATGCTGCATGAGTCTCCGAGAGCCACCCAGGCAAGAGCCTGCACCTGTGTCCGGTGGGGCCTCCCTCCCCCAGGCAACATGACCCTTCACGTACACCTCTGAATGTGCCAGGTAACATGAATTATTTTTCAAATTGTGCCCTTGTTTTAATAATTACTGTCACTATCTTCCCATTTCCCCCAAGACAACACCAGGGGTATCATAAACACTGCCTGTGAGAATTTGCACGTTAGGTATTTGTGTGTGAACTTCTTACGGTTTTAGCCAAATGAAGTGTTATCAGTAATAAGCAGGTCTCTTCTTAACAAGAAAAACAAATAAATAAAAGAAAAAAGCTGTGATGACAATCTTATCAGAGGCAGTGAAAACACAGAACCAGACGTCAGCACTTACGCTTGTTGGGTGCCGGACGGCGGCTTCGAGCTGCAGCCTCACCCTCTGAGGCATCATCACGTCGTCCTGCAGGGAGGAGCCCACGTTAACTCACGGAAGCCACAGACACAAAGGGAAGAGGCAGGCAGCCCCCAGCAAAGCGGGCAACAGACCAGACAGGCAGTTCAGACCCTGCCCAGTGGACCAGATCCTGTGGGTCGGCACTGATCCAGCCACAGACTGCAGGTCTCGCACGCTGCACAGGCAGCAGGCGACCCGGCCGCGCAGGCAGTGTGGCGGGCAGCTGGGGAGGGATGGCTGCAGAGGGACACTGCGTAGAGGGACAGGCTCACAGTGCGGCAGGGGAGTGAGCAGCTAAAACACAGCGTCGAGCTTTTCCACCCTGGCCTAGGACCCTCTTCTGTCTCAGGGCGTCCCGTGCTCCTCCAGCTTTTAGAAGGGAACTTAGTTTTAGAAAGAGTGTATGTGAGAAAACCTACAGCAAACAACATACTCAATAGGGAAAAGTTCCAGCTCTCCATCTTGAGACGGGGAAGGAGACAAGAATGGCCATGCTCACGACTTTAACAAATTGCTGAGACTTAAGTCAAGAAAAAGAAATACAAGATAGAGGGTTAGAAAGAGGAAGATTGTGTATATAAGCCAATCAAGAGAATCTACAGAGAAATATTAGAATTAAAAGTGAATTTAGCAAGGTTTCTGGAGACAAGATTGATAAAGTTCAATTAATTTTTTTATAGCTGCCAAGTTTTTTTAAATGATGCCACTTATAACAGTATCAAAAAAAATCAAATAACTCTCATATATTGCTGGTGAGAATGTAAGAAGGCGCAGCCACTTTGGAGAACATTCTGGCTGTTCCTCAAAGTGCTACATGCAGTTACTGTGCCACCAGCAATTCCATCCGCCCACACACCTCAGAGCTGAAAGCTCTCGGACAGGTGGTCCCTCGGCCTTGTCCATCACAGCCAGGAAGTGGAAACTACTGAACGTTCATCCCTGGTAAATGGAAAACAGTCTGTCCAAACCCTGGCGACGTTCTCAGCAGCAGGACTGAAGTATGACACAGCAAAAGCAGCCAACCACCAGAGCACATGTGAGCCACCCCACGTCCATGGAGCTCTAACAGATCGCTCAACTAGTGACCCACAGCCCACGTCGTAGCTGTAGGAGGACCGAGGGGAGGGAGCCAACGGGAAGGCTCTATGAGGCGGGACCTGGGCCACCTGGAGCCGAGGCCACCACCTCCTCCCACACCTCTGCCAGGTTGGCGTGGCCTGCAGTCACCCATGAACACCTAAGGGGACCCGGGAAGCAGAGTGAGGCGCAGCCCAGAGCTGCTGGAGGAGAAAACGGGAAGGGAGTCTCCACGCTGCCCTCATACCCAAGGAAAGGCTGCCTGTGCTGACAGCAGAGAGTCTCGCTCTAAAAGCAGCAGCGATATCATCATGTGGGAGCACAGCTCCCGGTGAATACATGAACTGGAAGGTTGAACTGCGACATGAACAGGCAAAATTACAAAGAAAGAGACAACAGTGGGAAAGGAGCAGACTGCAGGACCTAACACTCAAACGCAAGAACCCCAAGAGCAAAAAACAAGATAAAAAGGGAAGAAACGAAGAACTAATATAGAAAAATTTATCTCATTTGAAAAAACCTTGAGTCTGCACTTCAAAAGAGCTCACCCAATTCTAGGAATACAGAAAAAAAAAATCTTATAAATCTTCAGTAACAAACATAACTTAAAAACCAGCAAATCCCAACCGATACAGAAAAAGTATCTGACAAAAAACCCAACACGTGTTCACAGTAAAAGCTCTGAGCAGGCCAGGAACACAGTGTGGTGGTGCCTGCAGCCAGCGCAGCGCTGAGGGAGAGTGGACGCTTCCCGCTGAGACAGTGGGAGGCAAGGATGTGCGCCCGTCAGCGCCGCGCCAGCAGGTGAGAGAGGTCAGGAGGGAAGAAGCCAGCTGTCTCCACGGCAGGTGGCAGTCGTGCACCTGGAGAATCCTCACTGGTGGGAGCGCTGCAGGATCACAGGATGGGAGACCAGCACAGAGAGCCACGTCTCCACGTAATCACAGTCACATGGGGCACAAATGAAAACAGTGTCCGCTTACAACTGCTCCAAAGAAACTGAAACGTGCTGGTGCAAACATAACGAAGCACGTATGCGGCCCGATGTCCTTCTGCGCAGGAAGCACACGGGTGCGGGGCGGCGGACACAATGCTAGCCGTGTGCGGAGTTCTTTGCCCTGTCCTTGCAACTTTTCTCTAAGTTTGAAAAGGAAAAGTGGGGAAAAGATGCAAACATGTCACGAGAAAAGGAAACTGGCGAGGCCATCAACATAGACCGTGCTCGGCGCAATCTGAAACCAGGACACAGTGAGGCCGCTCCCTCCATTCACGGGCCAACACTGCAGAACCTGCAGTCCCAGCGCTGGAGAGGCCCTGCCCCCAGGCCACCACCCATGGCCCCTGCAGTGTCCCTGCGGCCTGGGGTCCACATCTGGGTGTGACCCCAAGAGGACGTCTGCCACATGGACAATGAAGGTGATACAGGCACGTTCACAGGGCATGTTTCACAAGAGTAAAGGCATAGAAATAGCCCGCCCGCCCATCGACAGGAGAAGGGGTGAGGACATGATGGTGTGTGCTCAGTGGGATGTTGTACAGCAGGCAGAGGGAATCAAGTGCCCACAACAGACAAACAGAACAGAAGGGAAAACTGGAAATAAACCCACACTGATACGGCCAATGGACTTTCAACACAGGCGTCGGCCGGTTCACGGGAGAAAAGTCTCCTCAGCCAGCAGTGCTGCCACCGAGCACCACAACAAACAGCCACTTCCGACCCCACACCACCCACAGAAATCAGTGGGACGTGGACAACAGATTAAATAAAACCTAAAGGCTATAAGCTACTGGCAGAAAACATAAGAGAATAACTTCTCCTTTGGGGCAAGCAGAGATTTCTTAGGAAAGAAATTAACTCTAAAAGAAAAAATTATTACATTTGACTTATCAAAATGTAAAACTGCTCATCAAAAGACACCACTAACCTATGAAAAGTGAAGCCACATTCTGGGAGCAAATACTCACAGTACATGCACCTGACAAAGGACCAGGGTCCCAAACAAAGAACAAACTTTCTTAACTCACTAACAGGAAGGGAAGCCAATTTTAAAAAGTAGGCAAAACATCTGAATAGGCATTTCACAAAAAAATGGCCAATAAACCATGAAAAGGTGCCCAACATCATGATCTACCAGGGGAATGTAATTAAAACCGAAATGAGACACATCATGTCTGCTCGAGTGGCTGAAACTACACGGACAGCAGTGGGGCAGGTGAGGAGGTGGGCCGGCCGGACAGCAGGAGAGTGTAGAAATAAGTTGTGGTCTATTCATACAAAGGATAATAACAACCAAGAATGAACCACCAACACGCAACTATCACGGGTGACCACTATGCTAGTGAACAGCTAAAAACAATAGTACATACTACACGGTTCCATCCTATGAATTCGAGAACAGGCAGCCCCGCAATGTGGAGTGATGGGATAGTCTGGATCTTGGCAGGGGCCTTAGTTATGTAGTGAATACAGTTGTCAAAACTCATCAAATTGTCATTTTGTACAATTTTCCCATTAAAATCTTGTGTATCACTGTATATAAATTTCACCTCAGTTTTAAAAAACTGAATAAACTATGACGTGCAACAAAATAGATGAGTCTTAACAAAAGAAGTTTTAAATTTCCAAAGTATTATATACAGCCCGATTCTCTTTTTATAAAGTTAAAAACAGCTAAAAAAATTTTTACATTAAGTTCTTTAGATTTGTAGAGAGACCGAGGCTCAGCAGGGGAGCCACAGCATGTGGCTGGGGTCGCAGGAGAGGCGGCAGGCGCTGATGTGGTCGGGGGCTGAGTGGGCTCACTCTGGGCGGCAGGTCCATGGGTCCTCATAATGTTATCAAGATAAACATGCAACACAGTCATGCAACAGAAACAGACACAAAACGGAGCTGGCACCAGGAAAGATGAGACTTTTCTGAACCAGGAACATGACTGACTCAAGTCTGTGCTCTTGAGACCTCAAGTTAGAAACAAGGAAATCACCATGGAAACTAGAAAATTGGAACAATACTAGGATGCCATGTTCAGAAGCTATAGGACCCTTATAGTGATCCTGAGAAAACCAAACTTATTTACATTCTTCATTGACTTACTTCAAATGAACCCTGAGAGCAATTCAAACTCCCAGTGTCTGACAGCTGCACCCCCTCCTGTCTGACCGACGCCCACCCCGCAGCCTCCCCATCTCCGCAGATGGTCCTGTGACAGCTCCCCGCCATCTCCGACCACCCCTCTACTCTTCCCCGGGACTGAGCAGGCCAGGCGTCCAACTTGCTCTTTCTCTCTCTCTGGCCCTAAATGCTAAAGGGCATCTTCAAGGACCTGGCTTCCCACCCGATGACGGCAGGCAGTGGTTTTGGACCTTCCTCTGCCCTCCTCGGTCTGTGGTTGGTGGCAACTCTGCTGACGCCCATCGCCTGCTTTACTGGTACTTGGTGACTCCTGGATAGAAAGTTCCACCATTCTAATCTAGGCCCCATATTTTCTAACACTTCCACCTGGATATCACCTCAGTTAGGTCTTTTTTCCTTCCCTTTATTGAAAAAAAGGAAGTTACAGTAGAGACCCTGTTGGGGAGAGGGTAACTTGAGCATTTCTCTCTTCTTCTTCCAAGACGGGAACCAAGTTCTTCAAGCTGGGCTCTCCATACTGAGGAGATCTTAAGATCCCTCGAAGACGAGATGGTCCGATCCAGCACCAATCACCAGTTCAAATGAAGTTTATATTGTCACTAGTGGCCTGGTGCATGAAATTTGTGCACATTAAAAGGGAATTAATTAGAGAAAATATTTTAATATTGCTATATGCCCTTTCTCTATAATAGACGTATCAGAGATGAAAGAAAATTAGTAAAATGTATATGAAAATCTCCCTCCTGTCAGAGTCTGGGGTGCGCTGCACGACCAGAGTCAAGTCCCCACCCATCCGTGCGCTTCGAAATCGCAGGAGACCCAGACCCAGCTGGCCCCACCCCTGTCAAGCCCTGCTGGGCACGGGGCACAGCCTTAGGTCTCCCGGCCCCGGTGCCGGGGCAGGGGGTGCGGCCTGAGGTCCCCCGCCCCCCACCAGGTGCCACGCAGCCTCAGTCCCTGCTGATTGGTCGTTAGGCGTCACTATGTGATGACCATTTTCATATTTGCCTTTTATTATGATGATCAGAGAGAAATACTTGCTCGCTATAAGTATTTCAGAAAGAGCAAGCTTAAAGAGAAAAATAAATAACCAAATCACCCAAAGGCCATAAAAGCACAATTGTCAATGTGGTAGGTGAAGCTGTCTTCGTTGGAAACTGTTTATGAAAATGTTGGATGGTCCATCCGTGTGAAAATAAGCCCAGAGCAGGATCTGAAAGGAGATGACAAAGCGAGAGGGGTGGCAGAGGGTCCCCACAAGAGAGCAGGGAAAGTGGAAGAGTTTCAGCCTAAGGAAGAAGAGGAAGATGAGAGACCAGAGCAGCAGGGCAGGAAGCTGCAGCCTCTGCTGGGGTCTTGTTTTCAGGGCAGGGCTGTTTCATGGGCAAGTTTACGTTTCGCACGCGCGCGCACACACACACACACACACACACAATCTTCCCCAACGTCCACACGTACCACAGCCTTGTCTATAGGTTCCTGGTCATCAGGGGAAAGGCTGAGTCAATATGAGACAAAAAGAAGCTTCCTATGTGGATTAATTCAGCACAAGTGGGAACTCTGAGCCAGTGCTGAGCTTGAGAAGGAAAACAACCCCCCACCACCCACCCCGGGGAATGCACAGAAGACTGGGAGCTCTGTACCCCAGACTCGAGGAAGGAGCGCAAGTGCTCTTCAAGTGCGCTTCAAAGTAACCACAGAGAAAACCCCTCACCACTGAGTGTACACTACAGATGCAATCACGTATTCTCTTTTCACCAATCATAATCATTTGTCATGTTATTAAACACTTTTCATAAAAGGTGAGTAATTCCCTCACATAGACCTTCACTATTACTCCACTGGCCTGTACTGTTGTTTCTCATTTCCCATCCTAATAGCAAACACTGAAGCTCCTTGTAGGTAAATCTCTCTTGGAATTTCAGAGGCGCCTACAGGAGAAATGTAGGGGTCAAGGGCATAAACATTTTGCAGTTCTTGAGACACAATGCAAAATGATGCCATCGACAGTACCAGCTCACACCTTTCAAGTCCCGAGTACCTACAACTTTAAAAAACTTTGTTAACCTGGCTTTTCAGCATCTCACTAATTTAATTGTTTCATGCAAATGATTTAAACTTTTTTTTAAAGCCTGTCATTTGCACGTCCACTTTTGTGAAGTCCCTACTCCAGTCCTTTCCTATTTGTCGTCGCCCGTATTTCTTTGTATTTGCTCAACTTACATGAACTATTTATTCTTAAGGCTATTAATCTTTTTAGTATTGTATTTGTCCACATCTTCCCAGTTTATCTTCATTTTTCTTTATATGGTGCTCTGCTATGCGGTTTTGCTTTTTTATGTAATCCAATTTATCAAAACTTAACTCATTAAGTGCTATGGTAATTAAACAGCAAAAACCTATTTACCTTAAAAGTTCTAATTATAATACATTAGAAGCTTTTGTCAAGAACCACACTAAAATGTAAGATTAATTATTCAACATATATGTGTGTGTGTGTGTGTGTGTGTGTGTAAAAAATATATATATATATATACACACACATATATATATATATATCTTAGCAATAAAACAAAGAGTTACTTACCGAATCCAAAAAGCACAGGTAAGACCCTGAGCTCTGTGCTATTGCTTGGTTTTTAGAATATCCGACTGTTTAAAAAGAAAACAAAAGCTCTTTTATGATTCAATCTTCGATGGTACTCTTGTTCATAAAACTATGTAACATGTACTACAGGAATACTGGGAGCATTCTACGCTACCAAGAGGGGATCAGGTTAGCCGTAGGAGGAAGGGGAGGGAGAAAAGCAGGCTCCATGTTTAGCGGCTGATACAATAAGCACGACGCTAACCCGCGAATGGCCCCCAGCACCAGGGCCGTGTGGGAGCTCCAGGCTGCCCAGGGCAGGTAAGCTCCGCCCGCTTCTGCAGGAACTGCTGTTGGGCTGAGGAGAAAGGGCCAGCCGGAACGGCTTCTCAGTAGGGAATGCTGTGCAGAAATTAACGCTGGACAAGCTCAGTCTGGGTGCTGAGGGCAGGGCAGATTGGAGGAGGCATTTAGTCCCAAAAGAAGGGGCTGAGGAGACTTTAAGGGGCACAACAACCACTCTCCCTAGAGAAGAGGTTGCTGACACCTGAGTCGTGTTAACTAGACAGTTACAGATTCGGTGCCACCAAGAAAAGTGACACAAAGCAAAACAGATGTGTGCAAAGTTAACACACTCAATCCCTCTGGTGCTCAAAACCACGTCAACCTGGAGAAGGTGGTAGGTGCCCAGGGGACACTAGCAAAGTGTTTCCGGCCACACCCAAGGTACTTCCAGGTTTATCGCTAATGGAGAGCACCTCTCCAAGGTGGAGAGAGAGAGGGCAGGTCCTTCCTGTTAGCTGCTCTGGAGCACCAAAGTCAACCAGCTGCAACAGAGAAGTAGGGACAACTAACAGCCATCTGCCCTCACTCTGGTCATCAAAGGCTGACCCAGCGCAGTGCTGTTTTCACAAAGGGTAGCAGCTTAATTTCTAGCTTTAATCCCAGAGCTCAGCCAACCCAAGCCAGTCAGCAGCAGGGTCCCAGATTTCAACAAACTACAGGATAACAAGGCAGAGAAGCAAGTGCAGAGGCAGGCAGAGCGAGGGGCTCCTGACCCCTGGGGACGGCTTAGCAGCCATCACCGAAACAGCTGTGGCTAAATCTCCATCATCACTGCAAAGCGAGGAAGGCCCAGAGAAAGACCTCATGGGAATCAAAACCAAAGAGCAGCACGTGGAAACTGAAAAATAGGAAGAGACTTTCCACAATCACATTTAAATTATGAGTTCTGTTTTAAAAGTTGCTTATTAGAATTGGGTTTAGAAGGGGAAAATCAAACCCAAGCATTTGAGTGATGAAGGAAAACGCTGCTCACTAAGGACCTGGAAGTTTCCCACAATGAATCTTCTGTTTGGCAAAGACAAGGAATTTGCTTTAATATTATTGCCTTGAAGAAAGTCAAATGTTTGTGCCAGGGCCTGATGTTTGGGGAGGCCCGACCCTTTGTGAGGGGAGCCGGTTGTCATGGTCACAGCAGAAAAAACTCAGGCCACAGTATGGCATCAACATTCCTTACTCCTGGAGAAGAGGGTGGGATTGTGTTTTATTTTTATTTTAGCAAGTAATCACATTATTAAGAAATGTTTTGCTCTACTGTGATAGAAAATGATAATAAATGAACCTTAATCCAGTTAAAGTAACCCAGGAATCCTGAAAATAGATACTTTGGATCTATGTTATCCAATATTTCCTATTTAAGAAAATACTGTTACAGGAAAAGATGTCCTTTCAGACATAATCAAATTAACTCCATTTTGTTATGTGTAATATGGGATCTGCCTTACCTAATTTCAGAAAGACAGCAGGATGACTCCGTTTTCTTTTTCACAATATTACAACAAATTCTTTTGTCATTAGTAGAATACATTCAAATGTGATATAGCTCTAGTTATAGCTAATCAATAAAAAGTATTTTATGAAAGACAAAACGTTTTTATTTATTGATTTTATTTTTTTTAAAGAGAGAGAGGGAGAGAGAGACACACATGGACTTGTTGCTCCACTTGTTTATGCACTCATTGGTTGATTCTTATATGTGCCCTGACTGGGGGTCGAACCTGCAACCTTGGTATATCTGGGGACACTCTAACCAACTTAGTAAGTGGTCAACTTAAGTATTACTCAGGATGCTTTTCAACAGGATTTAAAAAACACAAAACTACCTATGTATATAAGTAGATTAAAAAACCATTCATTACAGCTGAATAATAAGCTAAGCATATGGTAACTGACCTCCTCTGGGAGAAGGAGAATCGTGCCCTCCAATGACTACGAGGATACCGGAACCTTCTAGCTTCACTTTCCATTTTTCAATGATAGCCATAGACTTGTCCTGAAAGCAAGAAGGCATTGGCAGGTCAGGAAACTCCCATCAGAGGAGTCCAACGTGACTCGCATGGGGGGATTGTCAACGGGAAGCTCATAAGTACCTTACTGGCATCATTAAAAACCGAGAGCTCCATGGAGCCTTCGAAGTCCTGCTGCAAAACAGACCTCAAGCACTCGTCCAACCAGGGCTCCGCATTGTGGACGGGGAGGATCACAGACTGGAATCCAGAGAAATGGGTTATCAAATAGTGTGAACACTGAACACACTCATTTCCCGCAGGACCACACGTGACAAAATAACCCAAAACCAGGCTTCCAGGGAAAGAATGTTCGGACACAGACTATGCCTTCTCTCCACGTTCTTCAATCTCTGGTTCCAGGAGATGTATTTCATGTTACATGTCCCTGAATTGGTTTTGGGGATTCTTTTGAAAAGGAAACAAAAATCTGAAAGGCTTAAAAAATGTTCCCGATTCCAGGGCAAATTCATGTTTCCAATCACTTGGCCAGAAACACCATCATTGTGGTTGATACAAGCATCTGCGCATCTTTCAACCCAGTCATGAAAATAACCGAGGGGTCCTTTTCTGGGTGGGATGCTCGTGTTCGGTAAACCAGGATGTTGGAGAAGCAACAAAGAAACCCTTTAAAGACCCCTCCACATGCTTCATCCGGGCGGGGGCGGGTGCTGGGACGGGGAGGGGACTCCCGCCCTCTCCCGCTGCTCTACGCATTCAGCAGATGGTCGTGCCCTTTTCTCCGAGAGCACAGATAAAACAATAATTTCTAAAGTGTACGGAACCGACTTCCGGTGAACCGTGCACATTCACACATTCAGCAACGCAGACCACCCAGGGGCGCACGTGCCGAGGCGGAGACACCTGCACACGCCGCACGAGGATGAATGTGTCACAGCAAAAACCTCCGTGCGGAAACGGTTCCGCGAGGCTCCGAGAGAGACAAGCATGAACACACAATTCTGTGTTCTCCGGGGGCTCTGACCCAGCGCGTGTCAATCACAGAGTAGTTCCGTGCACTTGCTTCATTTTGGGGAATTGTTTTTTTCAAGAAAAAGAAAAAAAGAACCTGTCTATTCAAGGTCTACCAGACAAAGCATGACGGGAATATCTGTCACAGGGGCCTGGACTCGGTCCGTCCGCGCTCCGCCGGAGCGGGGGACTTTGGGCGGAGACCACCCGAGGCAAGCCCAGAGGAGGTGGGGACCGTACCCGGACACAGAGGCGGGAGGGAGGGGGACGAAAGGGGACGAGAGCGGGGGCGGCGCGGCCACCTACCACTTGAGCCCGCATGGCCTCCTCCGCGGAGACCACAGGCAAGCCCAGAGGAGGTGGGGACCGTACCCGGACACAGAGGCGGGAGGGAGGGGGACGAAAGGGGACGAGAGCGGGGGGGGCGCGGCCACCTACCACTTGAGCCCGCAT